CTTACGTACCCACAGAGCCGGAGACCCCTTAGGGTTTAGGGTTTCGGGTTTAGGGTTTTAGGGTTTAGGGTTTAGGGTTTAGGGGTTTAGGGTTTAGGGTTTCGGGTTTCGGGTCTAGGGTTTAGGGTTTACGGTTTTAGGGTTTAGGGGTTTAGGGGTTTAGGGGTTTAGGGTTTAGGGTTTAGGGTTTAGGGTTTAGGGTCTAGGGTTTAGGGTCTAGGGTTTAGGGTTATGTGCCTCCAAGTATACGGGGGCTTTGTGTGACAAAGGCTCCTGAGTTAAGGGATAGTGGGCTATCTCTGGAGTATGGTTAATGTGCCCCAAGGCCCTATTCTACGCAGTAAGGCCCCCTCTATCCGGGTTTCAGGGTTCAGCATTTAGGTTAGTTCCCCAATACCCAATCTTTAAACTTTTTGGGTTTTTATAATTTAGTAGTAATCTGAAATTTAGTAGTAATCTGAAAGTGTAACCTTTTATTTCCCTGGCTTATTGGAGAAGTCAGTTAAGCATTAAGCACAGAGTTCGCCTAAGACCCTAAACCTAAACCCTAAACCTTAAACCCGGGGTTCAGCGTTGAGGGTTTGCGGGGCCGGGTTCGAGGCTTCTAAACCCTAAACCCTAAACCCTAAACCCTAAAAGCATTCGGGGCTCAAAAGCGTTGTGGAGAGGATCCAGGGGTTCAAGTCAAACCCTTAGTGGGTTTAGGGTTTAGGGTTTAGGGAGGGATCGGTTTTTTAGGATGTAGGGTTTAGGGTTTCGGGCTGTACCGGTGTGAGGGTAATGTTTGATGTCCTTCATGGTTCAATGTAGAACCATAAATAACTTCAGGTGCTGCTGAAGTCGACACCTCGTAGAGGTTTGAATAGCTAGTGGTGAGGAGCAGCATGCACTTGTAGTTCTTTCTGAGATTAAACCCGAAGCCCTAAACCCTAAACCCTAAACCCTAAACCCTACACGAAAACCCTAAACCCCAAACCCTAAACCCTAAACCCTAAACCCTAAACCCTATCCTGACAGCCCCTCGTCCGCAACATCGGCCTAGACCCTCAAAGCCTCGAAGCACTAAACCCCGCAAACTTGTCAAGCTCCAATGCAAGCCGGGGCTTAGGGTTTAGGGTTTAGGGTTTAGGGGTTTAGGGTTTAGGGTTTAGGGTTTAGGGCTTAGGGTTTAGAGTATGCAGGAGATCCTCTTTATAATGGGGAGCGTTATTAATCAGGGGTTCACATGAACCGTAAATTCTGTTTACGGGGGTTACAGCTTGCCTTACACCGAGAAACTCTAAACCCGGAGCCCTGAACAACTTGTTTATTCCCTCAGAGATGTATGTGTGTGTGTGTGTGCGCGCCTGTCGCAAGCGCGGTTAAACCCTGGACCCTCAACGCTAGAACTTGACCCCAAACTATAAATAATCCCAACCGTGTACATCTGCTACCCAAAACCCTAAAGCCTAAAACCTAATCCACTAAACCCCTACCCCTCAAACCCCTAAATCCTAGACCCTAAACCCGTAACCCCTAAACCCTAAACCCTAGACCCCTAATCCCTAAACCCTAATCCCCTAACCCCTAAACCCTAAACCCCTACCCTTAAACCCTAAACCCTAAACCTTAAACCCCAAACCCCTAAACCCTAAAACCCTAAACCTCAAACCCCCAAACCCTAAACTACAAAGCCTCAAAGCCTTGTGCGTTGGAAGCCGCAGCCTGATCGACATGAAGGCGTCTCTCAAGTCAGACAAAATGTGGGTCCTTGTTGGTTTAGGGTTTAGGGTTTAGGGTATGTGGGTCCTTTAGGGTTTAGGGTTTAGGGTTTAGGATGCAATCTTAGGGTTTAGGGTTTAGGGTTTAGGATACAATCTTAGGGTTTAGGGTTTAGGGTTTAGGATACATGTTTGTTATAATAAGACCCAGCAAGGGTTAAAAGATAATCATGTTTAACATAGCACCAACCGGGAACCAGAGATGTGGTCTTTCTGTTGTAGCATTGTGTAACTTTGGGTGCAGGGGTTTAGGGTTCAGAGTTCCGGCAACTTGTGTATGCATCAGAGTCAACGGTTCTAAGGGGGACTAGACTAGGGGTGGTATACAAAATATCCCTTAAATCATAATATTAAGGTCCCTATGACTTTAGGGTCTATTCCTTAATTAAGGGGTCTTGGGTTCTCTGGGTTGACCCTAAACCCTAAACCCTAAACCCTAAACCCTTGACGCTTCTCCGACCATGATGAAGCCGCCGATTGCCCATCAGGGTTCGCTGGCAGGCGCGAAGCAGGAGGATGCTGATGAGGACACCGAAGCTTAGGGTTTAGGGTTTAGGGTTTAGGGTGCAGGGTTTAGGGTTTAGGGTTTAGGGTTCAGGGTTTAGGGTTTGAGGATGCTGATGAGGACACCTTACCAGGGGTTGCGACCTCCGAACAGATCGGCGACGTGCTGCTGGACTTTGGGGTGGACACTGACTTCCCCAAGAGGGTTTAGGGTTTAGGGTTCTTATAGTTTAGTAGTAACCGGAAAGTTTAGCCTTTTGTTTCTGTGGCTCCCTAAACCCCAAACCCTAAACCCTAAACCGAAGTAAGGACACGATGCCTGCCTGCTCTGCCTTGCTTCGTCTGGCCTCGCCGGTGTTCAACCGCATGCTTGCGAGTGGCATGAAGGAGGCGCGGTCTATGGTTCAGGGTTTAGGGTTTAGGGTTTAGTGTTTAGGGTTTAGGGCAGGCGCCATAAGGGAAAGAGCCCGGAAACCCAAACCTAAGTCCTCGACTAATTTTGGGGCCTAAATAACTACCTATGTAATTTTTGGGGCTACTTCTTACATTTCTAGTATAATATACCCCAAAATCCTATTCTAATGATTAAGGCCCCTATATTAAACACTGAACCTAAACCATTAAATCAACCAAGGCGCAGCAAAGCATCATTAAGGTGGAGGTGGCGAACAAGACGGAGTTTGAGACATTCTATGCCTTGCTCGGACCCGCCGCATGGGGTGCCCATAAGGTGACGGAGGCAAATGTTGATGGGCTGCTTGCGATTGGTGGCTATTATCAGGTGGGCTTCCGTTGTGCCCTAAGCACTGACTAAAGAGCCTTATATCGCCATACACCCTAAATCCCAAGCTCTCCACCCCAAGCCACCCTAAACCCTAAAGCCTAAACCCCAAACCCTCCACCCTAAGCCTAATCAGGTGGGCTTCCTGTTGCAGGCCTGTGAGAACCTCCTGCTGCAGCTTCCGGTCACGGGCGACCGACTCGTTCAAGCTTCCAAGCATCTGGGCTTTGGAGTACCATACTTTAATACTTTTTTTTTTTAGGTTTTAGGGTTTAGGGTTTAGGGTTTAGGGTTTAGGGTTTAGGAACCATTATGAAATAAAAGTCTACTCTTTTTCTTCCTGGTTACTTCAAAGCCTAGGCATGGCCTCAAGAAGCAGCAGGAAAGATGTATCTATGAACTGGCCAGGGACTGCAAGAAGCAGGATTTGATTGCCCTCCACCGCTCAGACGCAGACATGCTCCTTCAGGTGGGTGGTTTTCTAAGTTAGGGTCCCTTTTAGGGTCATATTTATCAGGGTGCCCTAAACCCTAAACCCTAAACCCTAAACCCTAAACCCTAAACCCTAAACCCTAAACCCTACTGTATTGGGGACCTAAAAGGGGACGAACTACCCAGGTGGCCATGAAGAAGCTTGGTTGAGCTTTACAGTCACTTTATGTTTAGGGTTTAGGGTTTAGGGTTTAGGGTTTAGGGTTTAGGGCTTTATGAACTTTAGGATTAGCCTTTTTTGATATTAGGGGTACTAGAAGTTATAATTTTAGCAAGGTAATAAAGAGCAACCCAGGAAGCAAGACCTTTTTAGCACCTTTGTGGGCAACATCCGGGAATTCGGGAGCAGCCCCGTCGCGGGCGTCATCACCGCCGCGCCCTTCAGGCCAATGTCGATGGGAGGCAGGCCGGCCGGCAGCATGTATCTTTGTCATAGTTGGGTAACATTTTACATTTTTAAGGGTACTTAAACCCAATAAGGAATATACATTTAAATTTTAATGCTACCCCAACCATGAACAAGGTATTGGGGCGGAGACAACACTGAATTTCCACCGCCAATCTAGGTCTTGCAGAGCCCGGCGTGTCCCTGCCGTGACGTTGCTGTCTGATACCAACTTATTGCATACAAAGAGGAGTATGGTATTTTCGCTCATAAATAAACCCTAAACCTAAACCCTAAACACTATAAACCCTAAATCCTAAACCCTAAACCCTATACCCTATAACCCTATGAGCACCCTAAACCGTAAACCCTAACTAAACCCTAAACACTATAAACCCTAAACCCTATGAGTACCCTCAACCCTAAACCCTAAACCCTAAACCCTAAACCCTAAACCCTAAACCCTAAACCCTAAACCCTAAACCCTAAATCCTATGAGTATGTCACGCAGAGGCTGCTAGAACGGCTCCGGCCGACAAAGGATTCGGTCGTGAGCCCTGGCTCCCTGCAAGCCTTGGGCACATCGGAAGCAAAAGAACTAACCTAGGTTTAGGGTTTAGGGTTTAGGGTTTAGGGTTTAGGGTTTAGGGTTTAGGGTTTAGGGTTTAGGGTTTAGGGACTTTGTTATTTTCCCTATTTGGGTTTATAAGGGGCCCTTTATATAAACATTTTTTCAGAGGGTTTAAAGGCCAACCCAGTAACATGTCGTGGTACGGTTGAGCGTTTACGGTTGTAGGGATTTAGGGTTACGGGCGTAGGGATGTAGTGCTGAAAAGGGTTCGCTGCGAAATCTGGGATGAGTCCATTCGAGAATGGGGTTATTTTGCATAGCCGGTATAGTTAGATCGGGATGCCGAATCAAGTATTCCAACCTTCCGATAACTCAGAGTTTACCGTCTCAGGGTTTGTGGCTTCAGGGTGTTGGGGTTTAAGGTTAAGAAGGCTGCCCCAGACCCTAAACCCTAAACCCTAAACCCTAATCCCTAAGCCCTAAACCCTAAACCCTAAACCCTAAACCGCCAGCAGTACTCCCTTTTAGTCCTTTGCGTGGCGGCTTCATCTCAATACCCTTTTTGCAGCCGCCTTTGAGCTTCGACCGGGGTTAGGGGTTTAGGGGTTCAGGGGTTTAGGGGTTTAGGGGTTTAGGGATTTAGGGGTTTAGATGTCTAGGGGTTTACAGGTTTAGGGGTTTAGGGTTTAGGCTTACGGCCTTTGCAAAACCCCAAATCTTAGAAGACTTATACCTCCTAAGCCCCAAGCCCCAAACCAAGCCCTAAACGCGAGACCCCTTCACACCCTAAGCACAAAATCTAAACCCCTAACCCCCCAAATCCCAAACGCCGCTAGCAGCGCTGCAAATGCATCGGGGGATGAAGGAAGCAGAATGTAGGAACCTGAAACCCTTAACCCCAAACCCTAAACCGTCCACGGTTTAGGGTTCAGGGTTTAGGGTTCAGGGTTTAGGGTTTAGGGTTTAGGGTTCAGGGTTTAGGGTTTAGGCACTGAAGCATTACCAATGCAATTCCTTGTGGTTTCCTATCTTTTTAACCCAGTACACCAGAGCCAGAGTCGAAAAGTTGAGGCTTTTATACTTAGGGTTTAGGGTTTAGGGCTTTGGGTTTAGGGTTTAGGGTGTAGGGCTTTGGGTTTAGAGTTTAGGGTTTAGGGCTTAGGGTTTAGGGCTTTGGGTTTGGGGTTTAGGGTTTAGGGTTAGGCCCCTCTACTGAACCCTCTAAACCCCCTATGACAGAACGCTTATGCATCCCTGTTAAGGAAACCTCTTAAAGGATCCGTATTCTAGCTGAAGCATAGCCGAGAATGCCAGGTCTCCGTCCACACCGAATCATTGGGAGTGCAGACGTGGCAGAGTATCGAGGACACTGGCCTACGGGTTCTAGAGTAAGGGTTGAGGGTTTAGGGTTTAGGGTTTAGGGTTTAGGGCTTCAGGGTAAAAGGCTTCGTTGTAGAGGGTGGGCTTTAATGGCTAACATAGGGGCCAGCATACTTCGAATCGGGTGCTAGAATGAGAGTTACCATCGGGTTTACAATAAGGTTGCGCTAAATGGCTGTAGCCCCAAAACCCTATTCTGACTAAGGCCCGCCCCTGAACTTCTAGGTTAAACGACCTGTAGGTGCAGTTTAGCAGCCTGAATGACTACTACACCCCCTAAACCCTAAACCTATTGTAAACATTACCAGGCATGGTTGGGGGTTTTGGTTTCTCTGGTTTCGGTTCAGAGGTGACGGAGAGGAGGGGCGAGAGGGCGGACGGCCCGGGGGTCCTCAAAGGGGTGGGGGGGAGACAAGAGACAACGAAAAATCTATTTCTATATATAGATATACACATATTCATATATATATATATATATAGATATACTCATACAATAAGTAAACAAATCAAAAACAAACAAATATAAATATACATGCAGAAATAGATAAATAAATGAATAAATAAATAAATATATATATATATGTTCCCTAAACCCTAAAACCTAAACCGTGTTTTATTATTTTCTTTTGTTCCCCGTCCCTGGGGACCCGGGGACCCACCGGTCCGGCTCTGCTCCCTCCTCCGCGCAGCGGATAAGGTCCAGGATCAAGCTCCCACAACATACATATATACATACATACATACATACATACATACATACATACATACATACATACATACATACATACATACATAGTTTGATGCACACATAGTAGATATACACGTATGAGTATACATGTATACACATAAACATATTAAAACCATGTTGTTTCGTATGATACACATATACATATGTTGAAATCAAGTGTTTCGTATGCGCACACACACACACGCATATAAAAGTGTGTATATATATATGTATATGTATATGTCATATGTATTAAGCTTGTACGTCCAGGTATAGTAGCACCTATGCCTATACTCAACAAAGAAAGCATGGGCTGATCTACCCGACCCTAAACCCTAAACCCTCAAGCCTAAACCCCAAATCCTAAACCCTAAACCCTAAACCCTGAAGCCAAAACCCTAAACCTTAAGCCCTAAACCCTAAATCCTAAACCCTGGAGCTTAGTACCTCGCCTGAGGTTTCTGTGTAGTGCAGGACCAGGGCCGTGAGGCTGTGGCGATCGAAAATGGCTGATCCGGGAACTTAGGGTTTAGGGTTTCGGAATTTAGGGTTTAGGGGTTAGGGTGTAGGAGCGTTGTCTCCATGCTGTACCCCCTTCCAAGGATGCTGAACAACTCTTCACCCTCTACGCCGCTAGAATACCCTCCCAAACCCTGAATTAAGGCCTGTATCAATGTCAAAACCAATGTGTGAAGGGTTACACTAGTTGGGGATGGTCCTTATAAGGCTCCATATAATTTATATCCTGCTTGTTGCATGAGGGTCGTTCTCTAAATTGGGGTCCCTTTGGGGGGTCCTTTTTTTAAAGGGTGCGGTACTTTATGCCTACAAAAGGGACCCTAACTTACAGAGCCACCCATAAAGCGACACATTCAACACCATGTATGATATTCCTGTTCTTGCAACCCTAAACCCTAGACCCTAAA